ACTCTCAGATCCCTCACCAGGGGTTCTTAGGAATAGTGTGAGGTACGGATCTATTTCTGACTTTTTCCAAATGGTTACCAGTCATCTCAGCTATTTATTAAAAAGTCCATCTCCAACCCAGTGCTGAGATGGCGACCAAGGTTTTAAAAAAGAATTCATCCGTGTTTCCTGCTAGTGCTTGTAATGGTTTTAATGTTTACACTCAGATCCCTCACCAGGGGTTCTTAGGAATAGTGTGAGGTACGGATCTATTTCTGACTTTTTCCAAATGGTTACCAGTCATCTCAGCTATTTATTAAAAAGTCCATCTCCAACCCAGTGACCTGAGATGGCGCCTTCATCGGATGCCATGTCAGCGTGTACCTGGGTCCATCTCTACTCTCTATTCCTGGTCCATTTGTCTCTGGCTGCACCAGGACCACATGGCTGTAATTGCAGAGGTTTTACAGTGTGTTTGAATGTGTGGTAAGGCTAGTCCTCCATCGTCGTCTTTCTTTCTCAGTGGTTTCTCAGTTATTTCTGCAGGTTTGTGGGGTTTTTTTTTTCTTGAACTTTGGTCAAATGTGACTAACTTCATAAAATAGCCTACGAGGTGTCTAGTGGGATTGCACTGAATGTGTAAATTAACTCAGGGAAACTGGCATCTTTGTCATGCTGAGTCCTGCCCTCCAGAATGGACTGCTCAAGTCCTACACGGTGCCTCTAACATTGCTCTTGTATAGTTTTGCACATTTCTTGCTAAATTTATTCCAAAGTATTTAAGCTTCTTGTTAACACTGTGCATGGGATTTTCACTACCCTCCTAACCTCTGTGGACTGTTTGTATGTTAATTTTGTGCCCTGCTCCGTCACTGAAATCCTATTGTTTGTGTGGGTTTTGTCATTCATCCTTTGGGACAGATCACTGTATTGGAGTGAGGCTGTTGGTGCCCTCCTGCCGCCCTGTGGGTTTTCCGGAGGGTATTTCAGGGTGAAAGCAGCTATGATGAGCGAATGTTTCAGGAGTGGATGGCCCGTGTCTGTCCTGTTCGCCAGTACAAATTTGCAACCCAGCACAGAGCCTGGCATTGGGCCGATGTCTGGGAAGGGCTGTCAGAAGGCAGGGAGAGACCAGAGGCCTGCTTACAGATCGCCTGGGGACTCTGGGGTGGGCAACTGGCTGGCAAGGACACTGAGATAATACTTCCCTCACAGCCCTGATGGAGAAGCAAGTTTTAAAAACGAAAGTGCAGGATCTCCCCCTGCCCTGGCGTGGAGCAGCCCACCAACAGCTTCCCCCTCCAGGAACTTTGCCAGTGAACATACAAGAAAGGCCAGCCAAGTGGAGAGAGGTGGGTGGATTGGGGAGGAGCAGGAAGTACCCGCTATGTTCATCCCCCAAGTAACCCATCCCTTCCTACCTGTGCAGCCCCTCCCTGTGAGGGAAACACAGAGCCCAGGTCCGGGGGAGGGAAACCCAGGACCGCAGCGGGGGTGACCTGCCAAGGCCCTGCAGTCAGTAACTAGGGAAACTGGGGTCCTAGCCCATGTTCTGAACCCAAATCCCAAGCCCCACCCACAGAGCTAAGTGGATCCCAAAGGGTAAGACTCATTTAAAACTTAGCAACTGGTCACTTCTTGTTTTTCTGGGCACTTCCAGAGATGAGCCTGGAGCGGACACAATCCCCCCATCCCCGGCTACAGACCAATCTAGGCTGTGCCTGAGGGGGCAGGGGAGTGGGAGGCCAGCTAGGCCCAGGGAGAAGGTCTGCCCAGACCGACAACAGACTGGAAAACCATCAGCTTGGGGTGTGAGGAGCCCCACAGCTGTGCCGCTGGCATAGGAAGCGCTCCAGAACAAACATCAGCTTTTAGGTGCAGGATTTATTGGCTGCTGCAAAGCGAGATTTAAAAAAAAAAAATCACATATGCAGGTGAAGGGTCCTGGCAGCAGGGGCTCTGCCTCCTCCAGGTTCCCAGTCAATCATTCGGGTTGCTGCCCCTCCTCCCGCCCACACAGCCCAAGAAGCAGTCCAGACAGGAAGGGCTGAAGCCAGCGTGCTTGCCCCTTGGCCTCCCTCTGGGACTGGGAGCACCTGCCACCTATTTGGTGCCGGATGCCACACCCACAGAGGGCGGAACAAGGCCTCCCAACCTTCATTTCCACCAACCACTTCTCAGAGAGGGAGGGGTCCAGGCCTGCCTCCCCAGAGTTCACAACTGCCCCTCCCTATGTTTGCAACCACTGCTCTTGAGGCCTCTGCTCCCCTCCAAGCACTCTGCCTGCAAGCCCGGCTTTCCCACCCAGACTGTCCCGGAGAACGCGCTTCCTTCCCCTTGCTCCAACGTGACTCAAGGGACAGCTGTGCCTCAATGCACTGTTACAGCTGAGCGAAGCTAAGATCTCTTCTGAACCAATAAAGATGGTTCATGCTTTATGGTTGAAGGTGTCCCCTTGGATGGGAAGACTCAAGGCCCTTTGCACCTTTCCCCCCCACAACCCCCCCTCCCGGGAACAAACTCTCAGTCGCAAACTCTCAGGCCACTATGGGGTAAGGGAGCCTCGGAAGCCAGGGCTGGGGGCCCCATGCCTGCTCGGGGCTGGGCAGACCAGCCAGGGGCCACAGGCCACTTCCCTGAGAGGGAAGGGCAGCAAGACCTTCATCAGCAGGAGACCAACCACCATTCAGAGCCAACGAAGAATCCTCCCACGGATGGAAGCCCAGCTGCCCAGGTGTAAATGCCACAGTGGCCTGTGCTGAGAAAACAATGAACGCTGGCCTTGGGCCAAACAGGGCACAATTTTGTGAACATCTAGAAATGCCGATTGTCCTGAGAGCTGCTAAAATCATTAAAAAAACGATGACCTTTGCCCCAGGCACTGCTGGCTCTCCCCACCAGATGTGGGGGGGAAGAGGCAGCCTGGGGCAGGGGGACAATTTTGGAATTGCCAAAAGGCTGGATGATGCCGACTCCCTGGCTGTGGGACCTTGGGGAGTCCCTTAGCCTCTCTGAGCATCAACTTCTGGGATGTAAGACCACTCTCACCCTCCTGTGTGGCCTGAGGGGGGAGACCAGGAGCCCAGCATGTCAGCCAGCCCTTCCCCAGGGCTTCATTAGAGGGTCCCAGCAAGGCTGGCACACTGAAAGGCATGACAAACCCAGTGGCCCCATTCGTCACTTACCCCCTAGGGCCAGAAACCAGGATAAAGACACCAGCAAAGGAGAAAGACCATTCGGAAACAAATCTGGCCAGATTCAAGCCCTCCCAGGAGGAGGTTTTCCACATCGCTCCCAAGGGCTCACTTGGCAGCCGCGGGCATTTTTCTGGCACGATCTTTCCTGTCCTATGGACCATGTGTCCGACTCCCTGGAGTCAATATCCGGTCCCGGTTTTGTTCCAAGACTTCTAACATTTTCTGCATGTCGTGGTCAGCCTCAATCACCTGGAAATCAAACACACAGTCACAGCCTGCACTCGCCTTCAGCACCCTCCTCCCTTCAAAGATGAAGAGAGAGAGCTGGAGGCAGGAGGAGGCAGCGAGAGGCAGGTTAAAGCCAAACCTCGCCCGTTGTAGGTCGATCTAAATTCTCGACTCTATTTTCACTTAAGAATCCGCTACAGTTGTCCCTGCAGTGAGCTCATAAATGAGGTTCTTCTCATCACTTTATACCGTCTAATTTTCTACAATGAGGGGGAAATTGTACTGTATTGTTAAAACCCACTATAGTAATGTCTCCCTTCCCAGCAACCTCACTGCCTGGAAGAGCCATGAGTGGACGTGTCTGAGCAGCCCAAACAGATGTCCCCAAGGCCAGGCACAACGTCTGTGCACGGCCCTCCGCAGGTCCACGCTGCACATGCATTCCTAGCAGTCTTAGGTGGCCAGTGCTGCCTGCAGAGATGCAGCAGCAGCAAATCACAAACAAGGGGACGGAGAAGCAAGGAATCAGACGGGGCAGGCACAGCAAGAGTTAGAAACGGCGAGAGTCGGCAGGAGAAAGAGGGGTTACCGTGAAAAGCAAGCACGGGAGCTCCGAGATGTTAGTAACCTGGGGCCAACAGTGCTGCACCTCGGCACCCGCTAAAGCAGTGGTTCTCAACCTTCCTAATGCCGTGACCCTTTAATACAGTTCCTCATCTTGTGGTGACCCCCAATTTCATTGTTACAAATTGAACATAATGAAAGCATAGTGATTCATCACAAAAACAGTATGTAATTATGTATGTGTTTTTCAATGGTCTTAGGCGACTCCTGTGAAAGGGTCGTTCAACCCCCAAAGAGGTCGCGACCCACAGGTTGAGAACCGCTGTGCTAAAGGCATCACTGTGCATCTGCCCAGAACAGCACATGACGGTCCCTCGGATGCCCCGAGTCACCGAGGAAAGGTGCAGCGAGGCTCCGAGTCTTCCATCCACTGGAGAAGGGGCTGTTGCATCAGGAAGACCACCATCCCAATGGTTAAGGCTAAACCCAGGGCTAGAGGCTTTAACCATCTAGAACATTCCTTCGCTGGTGGTGCTGGGTAAGTGAGATGCTGCCGTGGCCACGGTGTGACGACACCGAGTCAAATCACCTTCTCTCCGGTCTGTCCAAGTCACTGAGGCTCGTCCAGAACGGGGACTGGGAGAGGGAAAGCCACCCCCACACCCTCCCTGCTTCCTTCCTGCACATTCCCGAGCCCTGCAGGACTCGGCCCCTCCCCAGACTGCAGAGCGGCCGACATTCCTGGGCCACTCTTCCTTCTAGAAAAGTCTCCTGCCCTATCAGGAGGACTTACCAGAACAGGGGCCACAGTAGGGAAAAGGCCCCCTTTGGTGAGCCATTCCTCGTAGAGGCGGTGAATAGCATCCACGTACTCCTGCCGGGAAGACACACACACAGGCCGCTGAGGCACGAGGGAGCGGGCACGCCGCTCCCACCCAGGGTCTCGGGCAGGTGGGGTGGACGTCACTGACCATGGGCAGTGGCTTGGACAGAGAAGCCCACGAAAACCCACCTGGCTCAGGCGGACAGTGAGAGTGCAGGTGCTCACTCCCACGGCCAGCCCAGCCCAGGCCAGGCCTCCGGGGCACTCCGCTGGGCTTTCCACACACCCTCCCAGCGGGTTCTCTCATTACTGCCTTTTTTTTTTTTAATAGCGGAGCCACCAGTTCCTTTGGGGGAGGGGGGTCCATGGCCCAGCATCCCAGCCCTGGGCAGCCTGAACCTTTCCCTCCACCAAGAGGAGTGTGACCCTCACTGGCCTAGGAGCCCCACTCCCACAGCCCAAACCCACGGAGATTCTAGACCAGGGTTGGGGAACCTTTTTTCTGCCAAGGGCCACTTGGATATTTATAACATCATTCGAGGGCCATACATAATTATCAACTTAAAAACCAGCCTGCTCTATTTGGTCAAACATTTAACTAACTCGCCCCTAATGCCCTGGCAGGGCCAGACCAAATGATTTCTCGGGCCTATCCTGGGCCGAACGTTCCCCGCCCTGGGCCTAAACCGTGATGAGGCACTGAAGGGTTTGGGGCTGGGACTGCACACGTGGTGTCCTGCACTGGAAACACCACCCGGGCAGCAGGGTGGAGGCTGGATTTCAGAGGCAGATGAAGGGAGAGGGGGGCCAGGGCAAGGACAGCAGTTAAACAATCCCAACCAGAGTCAATGTGGCCTTGAGCCGGACCCCGGAGGCTGAAGCAGTTAAGCAGCCACCAGTGAGTGTCGCCTCCAAGCCGGGCACAGCACTACGCACTGGGGATGCAGCAGTGAGCGAGAGGGCAGGTTCTAGAACGGATCCAGAGGGCACGGAGGCAAGCTGCCTTCAGGAGGCGGCCAGCCAAGACCTGGTGGTGCCTGGGCAGGGATGGGGGAGGGTGCCCACCGCTGAGTCTGGGACACAGGAAGTGAAGCAGACGTGGACGCGGGGTCTCCAACCACAGAGGAAGTCAGAGTTCCCCCTCTGAGACGCTCGGTTCCTGTTTCCCTCTCTATGACAGCAGCCCAGGATCTCCCAGAGGGTGGGGCCAGGCTGGGGTGCTGGTGGCTCCCAGGTCATCTCTAACCAGGTGAAAGGGCTCTTACCAGTGGGATGACCTTCTCCTCGTCCCGGCATCTCATCTTTAACCTCTGATAGCAGGTCTCGGGAGTGGTCCGGAGATACACTGAGATTTAAAAAGCACACGTGGCTCTAACGACTGTTCACGGCTTGGAAGTGAAAGCCAAGGAGAAGGGGAAGAAGGCGGTGGGCAAGAACTGGAGAGAAACACCTGCTGGCATCTCGGAGCAGAAGACATGGCCAAGCTCAGCTCACAGCTCCACCACCGACCAGCTGTGTGACCCGACAGGCACCCTGACCACATCCCTTCTTTCATTCCCTTTCAATGTCATGAGCCCAATCGGGTCACTGTGAGGCTCAATAAGGCTCCAGACACAGAGCTGCACAGGGCCCAGCCCCCAGTGGGTCTCAGTTAATGTCTAGGTTTTTCATCTCCTCCCTCCCTTACAAACTAAAAAAACACCAAATCACAGGGGACCCACCAAGTCACAGGGAGAACAGCCTGAGGAACAAAGGCAGGTGCTTCTCCAGGAGGGACCAGGAACCCCCCCCCCCCTTCCACCTGACCTTGGGCACAAGGCTGAGTTACTGTGGCAAAAGCAGCACCACAGTAAGAGCCCCGCCCCCCGCCCTGCTGGCTGGTTGGAAACCTGGACAAGCTCATCCTCACGGGGCCCAGGGGACGGAGGCCCAGGAGGGAAGTCAGGACGGGCCTGGGCCGTCTCACCTATCAAATCCACGGACACGTCGATGTTCCTCACGATCCAGTCATACCATTCCGACAAAACCACGTAGTCCACCTCGGGCATCTTCCCACTGCAATGAGGCATGAGGGCTCTGCTTACCCACAGGGGAGCTTCTGGGAGGTGCCGTTCCCCAAAAGTAACTGCAATGGCCTTGGTTGAAGGGCATTGCCAAGGGCACCCCAGTGTGACCCACACGGCAGTGGGCGCGTGGTGATGACAAAGACCTTCACACCTCCAGCCTCCGCTGTCCGGCGACGGGCTATGGGGTAAGGCAGCAGGAGTCGTGGCACTGCCCGAGGAAAACCCATTTCGAGTTGGAACTCCGAGCAGAGAAAGGGGCTCTGAAGCCTGTCCCCCGAGAACAGGGACGGTGCTCGGGTTAGGAGATGGCACGACAAACCGACTTCACCTCTAGAAATTCATTCTGTGGGACTAATCACGGATGACCGTGTAACACTGTTTAAAATAATGAAAACCTAGACCTTGGGCCTGGTGGGTGTGGCTCAGTGGTTGAGCACTGACCTATGAACCAGGAGGTCACGGTTCAGTTCCCTGTCAGGGCACATGCCCGGGTTGCAGGCTTGATCTCCAGGGTGGAGGCGTATGGGAGGCAGCCGATCGATGATTCTCTCTCATCGTGGATGTTTCTATCTCTACCTCTCCCTTCCTCTCATTGAAATTAATAAAAACATATTTTTTTTAAAAAAAACTAAATCTTGCCAAAGCCGGTGTGGCTCAGTGGATAGAGCGTCGGCCTGCGGACTGAAGGGGCCTGGGTTCGGTTCCGGTCGGGGGCATGTACCTGGGTTGCGGGCACATCCCCGGTGGGAGATGTGCAGGAGGCAGCTGATCGATGTTTCTCTCTCATCGATGTTTCTGACTATCTCTCTCCCTTCTTCTCTGTAAAAAATCAATAAAAATATATATTAAAAAAAAACCTAACTCTTGATACATCTATAGAAGAGAAAACCATGCAGTAACCGAAAGATGATGCTGTAAAATGATATTCAATGACATTCAGATGCTCATAATCCAATGAAAACAGCAGGATACAAAACTCTGCATGATTTGAATAAAGTTTGTCATAGAAGAAAAACAACAAAAGCTGTGCATGACCCAACCAAATGTTTTAAAGTATTTGTCCACACAGTTTGAAAAAAGACTGAAAAGGGAAACACCAAAATGTTCAAAGTGCTTTTCTCTGACCTGGGGGACTCTGTGAGACTTTACTTTTTTCTTTATACTTTGCTGTATTTCCCAAAATTGAACAACAGATTCATTCTCAAATCAAGAGTGGGGGTCAGGGAGACTGCACATACTTAAAGTGCAAACTGGAAAAGAAAGGAAGGAAGGGATGAGGGGAAGGAAGAAGGAGCCGAGGTGTGGAGAGAGACCTGGCGGCCGCCTGGCTCTTGCGGATTTCCTCGCCCGGAGGACACAAACAGGAAAGACGGAGAACGGCCGCAGCTGGAGAAACAGACCTCGACAGCTGGTGACCCTCCAAGGCCCCGGGGAGGAATTCCCCCTTTTAACATCCCTCTCCGACCCACTCAGAATGGGCTTGGTGAGAGCAACCCCAAGGGGAGTGGAGGGCCCGAGCGGTGTGCAGGGGGGCCCCCAAAGGGATGTCAGCCAGTGGGTGCTGTTTTGTGGTTTTCCTCCTGGG